GTACTTACTTGTACGACTGTAAATTCAACTTCATCTCCTACACTAATTTCTCTATCAACATCAAGAACCTCATTAAAATGAAAGAAAAGTCTGGGCTCTCTTTCTACACAACGAATAAAGCCAAAACCATCCTTGAGAGATTGTATTACACCTTGCTCGCGTCTTTCTCCAGATACAGTGAAAGATTCTGGTAATAACATTATCTCTGTAGCTCTTTTGAGCTGATCTCTAGTATCTGTTGCAATACGAAATTGGACCCAGTCCCCATGCCTATATTAAAGAAATTAATTTATATTATATCACAGCAATGTATATAACTATATAAAATTAAAATATATTTATTAATTCACATAAATTACCTAAGAGTAAAGTCACCCTTTTGATCTTTATCGCCAAAGGGCACTTCAACTTCAGAATGATCACTGTCTCTGTATCGAATACGACCAGGTAATGGATCATTTTGATGACGAGCAGCATTACCTCTCTCCAAAGGTTTCAACACTTGGCCTTTTACCACTTCGTTACTGACTTCCTCAAATACAATTGAGCCGGGTGGTAACTTTGTAATGTTGCAAGCTACCTCTTTCCCCTATAAAAGAAAAACATTAAATTTTAAAATCATTACATGTAGAAAAATTTTAATCATAATCATAAAGCCATAAGCAAATCAATCAAGATAATCAAAAAAGATTACAATCTCACGTTTTAAAACGTTCGAATGCAATTAGTCGATATGCTTTTGGATTTACGGTTATAACTAAATTTTTTTTATATGTAATTAAGTAACATGTACATAATTTTTTACGTGTTTTCAGATTCTTCATTATTTAAATCATTATTTATTTAAATCATATGTTGCTCATATACATATCTTTTCAAAGAAACATTTATACAGTTTTTATTTTACTTACATTGCGCGTTTGTATTATAAACTCCACATCATCTCCTAGCCTAAGTTCTTCTTTCATAGATTTAGCTTCACTAAAGTGGAAGAATATTTCTTTGACTACATCAGCACGCTCGATAAAACCAAAATTTTCTTTCATTGAGCATACCACTCCGCGATAACGAACTGGATGTGCTGGATTTTCCAGCCTTACATTACATGCATTCAAGACTCCTCTAGAATATAAATATTATGTATGTAAGAAAAGAAATTATTACTTGTATAAGTTTTCTTATTTCACTAATAAATACTATATATGTATATAATATATATGTAATATAAAAACATATCATACCGTTGATTATTTGCAACTTGAAATGATACTTTATCACCAGTTCGTAAGGTGACGTTTCCCTCAACATCATCTTTGGTATATGGCAGAAAAAAACATTCTCCACGGTATTCGAAAGTGATACGTCCCGAATCGCCACTTGCTTGTAACTCTGTGGTTACATTACCGATGCATCTTTGATCACCTAATGACTAAAAGAAATGTGCGTACATTTATATTTTTTTATAATACTCATTCCTTTATTATTATTATTATTGTTATTGTTTTACTAACCACTGGACCAATTTTGCTAACGGTGCTTGCAATGGGCTTGCCTGTTCGTCGATCGTAAGTCATTTCAAACTCTACCGCATCTCCAATTTTCAAATGTTCAATATTACCGCTAAATTGGCTAAAATGAAAAAACAATCTTGCCTGTCTTTCACAGCACTGTATGAATCCGTAAGAATGCTGTTGAATAAAAACCACGTATAAATTAGTTGTTTATATATTTCATAATTATAGATAAGTCCCATAACATCTGTAGTACTCACCAATAATTTCTCAATTATACCAGTTTCCCGTGTTCCTTGATTCGCAGATTGATCCTGATAGGTGGAATTACTGGTGGCAGGTTCGTTTGTATACCCAGCATTTGTCTCCATACCCGTAAATTCAAACGGGAATCTTGTAGCGCCATTGCGTGGTGATGACTGTGTACCAGGATAACTTCCGTAGTTAGTAGAATTTTTACATTCAGGAGGTGAAACTATATGATCACCACTGTAATTGGTACCATTTCGATAATTATTAGTTGTCGGCTGATATTCCGTTATGGCTTTAGGACTTGGTATAGCCATAGACTTATAGTCGAGTATTGCTGGGTCAGAGTTCATGATTGGCGGCTGGAACGTTTTCCACTGAGGATTGTTGGACATTGTCTTCTCAATTTGCGCAGTGTTATGTGTTAATATTTACGTATAATTCAACTCTTCTTCTCTTGAAACAATTACTTAATTTCTTGTTTACACTTTTGTGTTTCACCCCACAATATATATACTTATATTTAGAAATTTTTAGTCTTTTTCAATTATTTAAGTGTTTAACATAGATATCACAGAACGGTTCTTGGTACCTTATATCTTTGTTCACTATTAATAATGTTACAAGAACTTAATGAAGAGGAAGAGTGGCTCCTTGAAATGCTGCAGAAATGCAGGCTTCTTCGTGACCAGAAAGTGGAAGTGAGGTCTCTTCAGAATACTTTAACGCGTTATTGTGAGAGAATTATTTATCAGAGTACCACGATGGACTCCATACAAACTTGGCACTCTTTGAACGCAGTTAAAGATGTTCTAGCAACCAAGCGGAGCAGCACAATCTCAGCCGCAATCACAATCACGGTCACTGTATTTGCTCACCTATCTCTTGCTCACAAGGCTTGTTGTGTATATAATATACATATGAACGATGCAGTTAATGCTGATTTATGACTTAATACAAGTACAAAATCTTAGCACATCATACACTGTCAATATTTTCCATACGTGTATATATATATATATATATATATGTTTGAATATTATAACAATATTATAACTGTTTGATAAATACTCAATTTAGCGTGCACTAGAACAACTGTGTTTCTCTTTGAACATCAGTCATCCCTTATAAAAGGAGTAAATCAAAAACATAGGAGATTTTAAAGGATAAATGTTGACTTGAAAATCCTCAGATGTCTTCAATGCGTGCTGAGTCTGATTGTGTTCTTTCAATATTTCTATAGTAACGTTTCCTTCTTCAGCTTTTAAATGTAGAATTTACAGTGAGCCTTGGTTTCAGAAGTGTCCTAAACTAACAATGACACAAGCTGTAAAAGAAAAAATTTAAAAAATCACTTTGCAAGTACAACATATATATTCAAAGTATATTGTTTGTCGTTTAAAACTTGCGAGCTTTGCACTAAATATTAAAATATGTAAAATAACACACGAAAGGAAACACATGAATATTAATTTCTATATTTTGTAACACAAATTAAATAAAGTTTATATCGAATAAATATTTTAGGAAAATCTCAAAATTTTTATATACAAAACAGATCGATTTCACAAATAATATCAAAATAAAACTACAAAGAAAATACGGAAAAAATAATCGCAATTATTGCACGTGCTATAAAAAAATATTAACGGCAGAAAACATAAGAATTTTATATTCCGTCATAACAGCTTTTCATAGACACGCATTCAGATAAAAATTTATTTAAAATCATCAAAACACTACGCAGAAAAAACATCGAGAATTCAACACAATTTTTAACACGCATTTCGAGCACACGTGACTGAATAGGGTTACTTCACCTCTGCGAGAACATAAAAGAATTTTCCGGAATCGAAAGGAAATAATCGAGGCGAAATAACAACGCGTTTATTTATAGTACTCCGCGGCGCGAGACAAACACGCTTCTGCCCGATTATCTGATAGTTTGACATTGACACGAGAGGATAACGAAATCTTACTTTCCGTTACGCGCGATCGCGTGAAAATTGTGTCTGACGTGAGGGCGTCGCGCGGCGCCGCGGCATGCTGATACTCCACGGATACGTGAGTCATGACCCTCAGACCTCCGCTATCATCATCTCCACCTCAATCCTCATTTTGCTCGCCCTATCAATCGACAACATTATCGGACCCGATTACGCGTGAAACATTCACGGAAATTCGAAGAGGGTGGCGAATCGCGATGACAAACGGTGTCTCTCGTGAATCACGGACATGTCGATCTCGCGAGCCATGCTCGCGATCCATTTCGCGGCTTCTTCTGTGTGCCAAAGCGACCGGTGATCAAGACATTATCATATATACTCTCCGTAGTTTTAAGAGGTTGATTTTTTTATGAGGTCGCGGAGCGCCTTATCTCGCCGCGGTGGTCATCGCGAAACCGCAGCATGCTCCAATCGGCTTGTGCCGGATGCCAATTCGATCGGCGAACGTTAGCGAGGATCACGCCGATCCGGATGGTACGCGTTCCCGCACAAAGCTCGCAATTGTAAAGCGTTGAGAGGATTTACGAAACTCACCACGACACAGCACAGCACTGACGACATGCCGCCATGTTGAATGTCAACATTCGGCATTCGCATACATCCAACGGGAGCAACCACGAGTTTCCTGTGCGCGCGCGCGCACGCGCGCAGCTGAGAGCTGGGACCCAGACCAGATTGACCGCAACGTCGCGATGGAAGCGGGCTTAAAGTGTCATTACTAATTATGATTACGTTCGCTTTGCCGCTCACAACGCTTGTGAGTATCATTGTCCTTGTTTAATATTTACTGAATAACAAAGAAACGACGCTTAAAGTGTGAACATTAAAGCGAACACAGCCTATATGGGAGCATCAATAAGCATCTGCGCAGAAATTTATTGCGCACGATTCTGAATCTCCTAATCAGTTATATAGAATTTTTTTTGGTATATGTCTAATGTATTAAATAATAATTAATTATATCTTAATTTGCACGTTATTAATCGTTTCTGAATTTACTTTGTTTTGCTTCCGATTTCAATTTTGTAATGCAAAATAGTAAATTAAAAGAGATTACATTTTGATATGTACTATTCTAACTAATACTGAAAATTTATATTTGTTTACATTATATAATGTAAACTACAAGATTCCTCTATCAGCAATGCAATTAGATCTAATGCATTTCAATAAAAAAAATTATTTAACATATCACTGCGCATGCTCTAATGTTCAACGTTCCCATGTGAAGGTAGCTTAAAAGCGCCTGTATATAAACTGCGATTTTTCATATGCAGCATGCTGTGACAACAAAATGTGATTCAAATTTTCGCGATTGGAAGTGAGTCATCTCAAGAAAAATTTTTAACCAATAATAGCAGTGTATTACCGCAGCGTGCTGCGCATGAAAAATCAGTTGAAGATTTTGTAGTTCTCTTGATTTTTCTTAAATCGATACCGCGTGCTTCTAGACTGTGTGTTTTTAATGAGGAATTAAGGGAAAGAACAATTATATTAAAGAATTTTGCAACAAATACAAAGCTGCTTTTTCTGCCGAACGCAACTATTATCGAATGTTTCCTGAAGAATGTTTTGAACTAAACTATGCGATTAATTTAATCAGCGATTAATGCTTTCACCAATAAAAGATTAACTTTAATGTCGGTTTATTTTTTTCTAATTCTAAATATTAAAAAAAAAAGAAGCAAATTAACTTTTATTTCTTTTATAGGCGAGATTAAAGTTAATCTCTATGTGATAGAAACAGGCTACAATTGCTTAAAACAAATTTGCCAATTATACAATTTACTGTGTCCCTATTTGCTTTATATTAATAAAAAATTAATAATTTATCTATATTGAAAAATAATGTAAGTTAATTGGAGTTTGGAAGACGTCATTCTAATTAGAATAATTTCGAGATCAAATCATTATCTTAATTAAATTAACTTAATCAGTACTATTTTATTAAGTGACAAATAAAGTTTAAATTAACCAAATTATATTTACTTATGTGTCGATAAAAAAGATTAAAACAATAATTTGTACATTAAAGATTTTGTCTTGAGTAATCTATCGATTAAGTTAACTGCTGATTAAGTTACTCGAAATCACTTATTACAAGTATTTCTACCAATGTAGATTAACTTTAATTTCGATTTAATTTACTCTTATCTTTCTCTAATCCTTAATACTAAACTTTTACATTAAATCAATCATTTTTCTCAAATATATTTTATATTTTAAATATATATGTATATATAAACACACATACACAAATATATACATATTCAGAATTGATTAGTAACGGCAGATTTGTTGCTCAAACGTTTTTATTCCGAGAACGATTAGTATAACAAAGTTGAGAGGGAGAACGAAACATCAACGAGAGCACCAATCAATTTCGAGGAACCAAAAATGTACCTCAATTTCATTTGACATATATTGTGACTCTTATTATTGTGGTTCTCTCATCATTAGTATACAAAGTGACATACCTTCTCGAGCTCAACTATTCGATCATATAATTTACAGTACGACGGTCAGTTTAGTAATAGATGATTTGTGCAAAGTTTGCGCTTATTGTTAAGTATTCAGCTTCGTCGGAGCTTCATTGTTGGACGTCCTTGCATAGATGCCAAAGTGATTCAACCGACGCCAACGTAGATCTTCGGGATCGGGTGTTGGTGGGGCAGTAACACATTCGAGACTCAGCTGCAAAGCTCGTCTCAATTCGTCATCTTCATCTGTATCATTTACCAAGTCTGTTAAATGCGTTGTTTTATCGTCAGTATGAAGATCCAATCTCAATTTTAACGTCTTATCTACGTCATCCTCGTCATTTTGCAGACTCATCTGCAAGGCTTTAGCTAATTGCATATTTTCGTCCTCTTCCTCGTCACTCTTCTCTTCTCTGCTCTCGACTCTTATGGGAATTATCCTTTCACGAGGTTCGTCTGTGGATAGTCCAGGTTTATGCAAAAGCGAGGACACATTTCTGCTTGCACTCGAAGATTGTGGGACCTTCACTTCTCCCATCGCAAGAGCAGTTTTCAAAATTTCGTCCTCCAGCTTGGTGCCTAAGCGATTGCCTTTGGATGTGATTTTTGATTCCAAGTTTGGATTGCTTTTAGTTGCGACTATAGGATTTTTCAGAAGGACATCTTCAGCGGGACATTGTGGAAGGGTACCAATAACGATAAAAATAGAATAACCTGTAAGATTAGCGGTTGATTGATATACCTTTGATTGACACACTTTTCGTTAGTGTCTCACTTTGCGCTTACCTTCTTGTAACAATTGAGCTAGATACATTGTGAGATAAGTGTCTGATATAAGCTGGGGTCCACTGAGCATTGAATTTAAGTTAAACCACTGACTTGCAAGTTTTCTTATCGTAAACCAATGCCCTTTATAATTACAAATATATGCTCTCATCCGCCTGAAAATTACATTACACATTTTATCTTACAATTATTATAAATAAAATTATTTATCATTGAAAAGTGAACGCCTGATATAAATGATATGATATAAATAAATATATAATATAAAAAAAAACAAGTTAATTTGTATCTATTATTGTAATTGTTATAAGAATAAAATTTCTTTAGAAAATATGCTTTTCTACGAGTACAATAGAACATATCAGGACATAACACAAACTAGACTCAAAACCTTTGACTATGTAAGTACTTATAATTAAAGCTCAAAATAAATTATCAATAACCTACGAAGGATCATCCTGTGCCAATAAAGCTGTTGGTTCCGTGCTGTTATATGGAATCAGTTCTAAACCCCAAACTTTCAAAGCACTGCTAATAACTTGAACTGAAAAGTATCCACTATCATCCATATTTCCTGATGGTTGCTAAACATAAGAAGTAATTCACTGTTATTACAGAGAATATTTGTTCTTGGTAGGAAATAATAGCAAGGTTAAGTGTTTATGTCTATCAAAAAGGAAATTTTCAAAGAATGCATCTTTTCTGTAATATCAATTTTCATATGACGCTGTCGTCAAGTATTCAGTAATTGTATGCCAAGAAGCTTTGACAAGCAACGTCATGTTTACCTCGAGAAACAGCTTGTAGTCCTCACTGTCGACGCCCGACTCGGCCATTCGGATTCTTTCCTCCTCGTCCATTTGATGACCGAAATTCGCTAGGTCGACGGCGTTGAAGTACGGGCCTTGCAGGAGTGCGTTCAGGCAGTGCTGGGCGCACAGATATCCCTCTTGCTGCGAGGAAAAAACATCACTGAAGAACATGAACACGAGCTCCGTCGCTCGCGATAGAATTGATCGCCGTTACGGCGGTGTCTTTTACCTTCTCGTGAAATATACTCTCCATTGCACAGTTTGCCCGGCGATACGGCGGATAACGCAGAACCCCGCGCCCGTCAGACGCGTAACAATAATTGTAAATATAATGTCCCTCCGCCGATCTCGGCCGCAGGTGAGAACGTCATCCACAAAAATATTTTCAGCCTATAGTCATGAATAACAGATGACCATTGTGTCGCCAAAGAGAAACCTGAGAAAGGCCATGCCGGCTTTTTTTCCTGTTACCATCAAAATTGCCCGTACACTATCGCCAAACATCCATTTTTATTTGGGAACTACGTGCCTACATTTTCTGACAAATCGATAAAATCGTATCGTCGAAAGTAGATATGGTTCATGTCTGTACTAAATCTTTAGGCAGAGAGAAACCTGAGAAGGACTATACCGATCTTTTACATAAAACTTTATATGAGTGATTTTGACGGTAGGAAAAAGGCCATAAAACTTATAATAATGGAACTGAAATAACTTATCTAAGCAGTTGAGAGATATCAATCATGAAACTTTCTTAGAATGAAAAGCGAAAAGTGAAAAATTTTTAATGGTTAAAATTTTCACTTTTCACTTTCCATCCTAAAGTTAAAGTTTCATGATTGATATCCAAATCTTGCTTACCACCTTCCACTACTACTTGGATAAGTTATTCCGGTTCCATTACTACAAGTTCTATGGCTTTTTTCCTGGCCTTTTACCGTCAAAATCTTTTTTTTTGAAAAAAATTTCAGCCATTAAAGAGCTGCGCACAAATGATAGGAAACAGGGAATAGAGAATCCATTTCAATCCATTCATTTTCAGTTTTGGAACTGCGGACTCAATTTAACAGTTGAGTGAGCGCTCGCTGCAATTGATATATTCTTTCAGATCTAACATGTTGATTGGATGATCTAAAAGAAATAACAGTAAGCGCTCACTCAACTGTTAAGTTCGCTGAACACAGCCTATGATCTAGTTTCTATCGAGGGTTTAAATCGGATCAGAATGAAGAACCAATTAGTCGAATATTCTCCTGTTACAGTCAAACGACAGGGGAATGCTTGTAATTGGTTGGTTCTTACATTCTGATCCGATTTAAACCCTTGGTAGGAACCAGGCCTGTGACTACAAGATAGAAGCATTTTCGAAAGATAGTACATGCTTCTATCATGTATGTCTGTAGCTGGATTAGAATCTTGCCACCGTATTATATTGCTTGCACTGACAGCATCACAGCCAGTGCGGTGGCAAAATTCTAATCCAACTAGCAATCCAGCAGGAAAACA